CTGCAGCTCCTAACAGGAAGAAAAGTAATTTAAGCATTCAAATGATGAAAGAAAATAATAATTGTCAGACTTGTTTCATTTTCTCTGTCTCTGTCTCTGTCTCTGTCTCTGTCTCTTTTTTATCCATTCCTTCTCCTTCTCCTTCTCCTTCTCCCTCCCCCTCTCCCTCCTTTTTCTCTTTTAACTGCCATGGGTATTTATTGCTAACCCTGATAACTATGTTCCACCTTCACTGTTGGAGGAAGGATGCTTCTGAATTCCACTTGCTTGAAATCACAAGTAGGGAAAAGTGCTGCTGCATGGAAGTCCTTGCTTCCTAAGCTTCTCTTAGGCATCTACTAACTTGGTCCACCATCATATCAGGATGCAGGACTAGAATTTGACATTTGGCTATTTTTACAAAAACAACAAAACCTCAAACTCAAAATTTAAAAGAAGATGTCACGTTTTCTTGATGGATATTAAAGCGTTGAGGTTTAAAAGTAAACTTCCTGAATTTCCAGGAATTTCCCTAAATTTCATCAGTGTTTTATAACGTTGTAAAAGAAAAGCCAATTTTAGAAGAATTAAATTCTCTGAAGTTTTGGAGGGGGACACTTTCCTCGCTTTGTCACAGCTGCTTTTTACAGATCTCGGTCTGCAAGCTTCCAGCATATTTTCCGGACAAGCATACAATGGGAACAAGCATTGCTTTCTACTGAACTAGCTTGCTGCTAGTCTGGATTCGTTTTAATTTTTAAAAATCATTTTAAAACATAAGAACATCCAAAGGCCTATCTGGTCCAGCATTCTGTTCTTACAGTCAACTGGAGGCCTATGAGACCTGAGTGCAGCAGCACTCTTCTCTCCTGTAGCTTCCAGCAACTGAAATTCAGAAAGAGATGTTCTAGCAGAACCTGCTCCCCAATGCTGTTTAAGGAATGAACCACCAGCTAGAGAGCTTCCGAGAAGGATATGTGCATATCTTAATAGAAGCATAACTTTTGCATTCAGATATTCTCACCTCCTGTAAACCTGCAGTGTGAAGATGAATATAGACATTGTTTTCAGTGTGGCACAGTTCATGAGTGTCCACCAGTCTATATACTTGCACAGTCCAAACCACAGCCTTCTAGGGGAAGGATACACTCCATGGGGGCCTGAGACGGCCTTGGGTGATGCCCAGGGAGTATCAGGGATGGTCCCACCATTACAGGGGCAATCGCGTCGCTCTCTTCCTTTCGCCCAACGCAACTGACACAGCAACATTGTGCTGCTGATATCGGCAAGGGCATAACCAGCTAGGACAAATATAACAGTTTCCTCTGGGTATTCTAGCAGGATCACTTCATTAATTCCCCCTGTTGAGAGACAAAAGATTCCTTTTCCTAGCAAACACAAGGGAGGGATAACTTTTACATAGCAAAAGCTACATTCCCTCTGGGTTTATAGGGGCCATACTCCAGTTGTGGGTAGGGCCAGAGGCAAAAGTAGACACAGCTATGGATGTGAGTTTTACCTTTGTACAATAAGTTAATTTCTACACATGCTTGTATGCCTCTCTGTATCCTATTAGGCTGCCTGACGTTGTGATTTTTTATTATTTTTTAATCATTGATGCTCTGTAATGTGTTTTTGGGACGCGGGTGGCGCTGTGGGTTAAACCACAGAGCCTAGGACTTACCGATCAGAAGGTCGGTGGTTCGAATCCCCACGACAGGGTGAGCTCCCGTTGCTTGGTCCCTGCTCCTGCCAACCTTGCAGTTCGAAAGCACGTCAAAGTGCAAGTAGATAAATAGGTACCGCTGCGGTGGGAAGGTAAATGGCGTTTCCATGCACTGCCCTGGTTCTCCAGAAGCGGCTTAGTCATGCTGGCCACATGACCTGGAAGCTGTATGCTGGCTCCCTCAGCCAATAAAGCGAGATGAGCGCCGCAACCCCAGAGTCAGTCACGACTGGACCTAATGGTCAGGGGTCCCTTTACCTTTACCTTTAAATGTGTTTTTAATGTGGTACACTGCCCTAGGATCTTCTGATAAAGGGTGAAATATAAATTGTAAGCATCATCATCATCAACATCATGCTTAAGCCATGAAGACACAACGATAGGCTCCAACTTTGATGACTTTAGATTAGAGAGATTCATGGAGGATAAGGTTATCAGTGGTCACAAACCCTGATGGCTATGTTTTATCTCCACTGTATGAGTCTTAATTCCAGCTGCTGGAAAGTACAGGAGGGAAAAATGATGTTGCACTCAGGCCCTCCTTGAAAACTTCCCATGGGCATCTGGGTGGCCACTATGAGAACAGGATGCTGGGCTAGATGAAACTCTGCCTGAACCAGCAGGGCTCTCATTGTATTCTCCATTCAGGCAAGCAAGGAGCATTATGAGAGCTCCCTGTCACATTCCAACCAGGCAAGGGAAGAGTATGAAGCAGGGCTGATCAGGGGTGTGGCTTTGGAAAGGGTGTGTGGCCTAGACACATGGGCAGAGGAGGGAGGGAGGACACCGAGCGGTGGACTCGTAATCTGGTGAACTGGGTTCGCGTCTCCTCTCCTCCACATGCAGCTGCTGGGTGACCTTGGGCCTTGAGAGACCTTGAGTCTCTCAGCCCCACTCACCTCACAGAGTGTTTGTTGTGGGGGAGGAAGGGAAGGAGAATGTTAGCTGCTTTGAGACTCCTTCGGGTAGTGATAAAGCGGGATATCAAATCCAAACTCCTCTTCTTCTTCTTCTTCTTCCTGTTCCAGAACTGAACTACCTGCAACATGATTGGTCAGTTCACAGAAGCCACACCTATCACTCAGTCAGGTTGCCAGTTGCATTGATGGAATGAGCTACAACACCACCCAAGTGACCCCAGTGAGCATTTCAGTTTCTAATATTCTGATTATTTCTACTTTTAGTTAAGTATTTTTATTTATTTACTTGATTTAAGGGGGCGGAGGATTGCATTTGGTCCTGGGTCCCGAGGTTCCCACCCCTACTATAACATTTATCAGGGAGTAAGTCCTGTACTCCTCTACCTCCACACACCCCTTCATTTGTCCTGCTTTGCACATTGAGTCTTTTGCCTAGTGGGAATGTGTCATCAGACTCTTATAGTGCCATCTTGCTTCTCTGGATGAATCCATTCATCTTGCTTCTCTGGACGGATACAGAAGTGTGTGTGTGTGTGTGTGTGTGTGTGTGTGTGTGTGTGTGTACACAAAGCTTGCTCTATAAGACTAAAATTTACGTACATTGCTCCGCTGACTCTGGTCAGTCGCCCAAAGGAGTTGCAGCCAGGTGGGGGGAAAGGGGTGATGAAGAAGCCAAGGCAATTTGGTTCAGCCTGCTTGAGGATTTTATATCTTCCTGCCACCCCAAGTTAAGAGCATGGGTAGCCTTTGTGTTGCTGCAGTTGTACAGCTTGAGCAGGTGAGAACTTGGTGGGAAAAGTTTGTTGAGTTCTGCCATGGGTGGTGCTTATTCCCATCAGAAGCGTGAATCTTGGAAGGCCGTCTCCCTGCCATGCAACCCTTTTCCACTTGGCCTGGGAGCACAGGGCTCTGACTGACTTCAGCTACAGAACCTGAGGCTGCTAAACGGACTCTTGGGCTGGGGTATTGTTTATGGGTTTTATTGGGGAGGTTGTTGCTGTTATTGTTATACCAAAACAATTCTTTACTTTAGATCTTATTATGTGGAAATTGTTTAATTTGGTTGTGTATTTTTGTGTATTTTGTGACTAGTTTTGTTATGTCAGAACTTTGTGGTTTTTTTCCTAGTTGTAAGCTGCCTTGAGCATGGTTTCAACTATGGAAAGTTGGCATACAAACAAAATTACATATATACATATATGACTTTATATGTATGCCATCTTTGCACAGTTAAAACCATGCTCCAGGCAACTTACATTTTTTTTAAAAAAAAGCATAACTACAACATAACAAAAGTAGTCATAAACATTTAAAAAATAGCCAACCAAATAGAACAGTTTCCATATAAATCACAAGAAGATCTAGAATAAAGATACAGAAAAACCAATAGCACCCCCACAACAAACCCCAGCCCCTTAGGTATGAGGAAGTTGATTCATCCCACATTCCCTTTCCCGTATGCCCACCTTTAAGAAAACTGATTAGCTAGAAACATTCTTTAGATCACCCAAGATTCTTGTTCACCACAGACACCATTGGAAAATGAACACATTTCTATTATGTACCAACATAGTAAAAGATAACATTCCCTATATTGTCTGAGTGAACACAGCTAACGGCCAGTGAAATCCTATTAGTTGCCCAGGGAATCATTCAATTGGTGAGGACATCTTCCTGCTCCACAGTTTTCTTAATGCACACTTCATCTCCTTGTTCCTCAATGTATAAATGACGGGATTCAGGAGTGGGGTTACAGTGGTGTAGAACACAGCCACCACTCCGTCCAGTGGGTCTTCAGACCCTGGTCTCAGATAGATGAACACAAGGGGAACATAGTAAGTTATGACAACTGTGATGTGAGCAGCGCAAGTGGAGAATGCTCGGCGGCGTCCCTCAGCACTACGGATCCTCAGGATTGCAGAGATGATGTACACGTAGGATGTGAGGATGAGGAAGAAGCAGGTCATGGCCAAGAAGCCAATGTCCACAAAGGTCACCATCTCGTTGAGTGCCGTGTCAGCACAGGCCAGCTTAAGCACAGCTGGGATGTCACAGAAGATATAGCCCACTTGGTCCCCATGGCCATAGGGCAAGTGGAAGGTGAGAGTGGTCTGTATCATAGAGTGCAAGGAGCCCCCAAACCAGGTCCCAAAGGCAAGGCAGAGGCAAGCTTTATGGCTCATAATAGTGCCATAACGGAGCGGCTTGCAGATGGCCAGGAAGCGGTCATAGGCCATGACGGTATAAAGGAAACATTCAGTGCAGCCCAGGAAGTGGAAGAAGAAGAGTTGGGTCACGCAACCACCAAAGGAGATGACCCCACCACCTTCAAGAAACCCAGCGACCACCTTGGGTACCACCACTGAGGAGACAGTCATATCCAAGAAGGACAAGTGGCAAAGGAACCAATACATGGGTTTGTGCAGCCGGGGCTCAAATGCCACTGCCAAGAGGATCATGAGGTTTCCTACGAAGGTGAGCAGGTAGATGAGCAGGAAGAAGAGAAACAATGGGACTCGTAGTTCACGGGGATAAGGAAACCCGACAATGATGAAATGGTACTGTCCCGTTTGGTTTTCACACTCCATGTAACTTAATGTTCACCTTAGTGTTGTGAATGATTAGACTGCAAAATCCAAACAAGGGAGAGAAGGGGTTGGCATGCCACGTCAGCTGCTCAGTTCTGGATAAAATTACTTGTAACCACTTAGGTTATTTCTAGGAGATAAAATGAAAGTACAGATAAAATTAACATTGCGGGTGGGTGGCAGATTCCAAACCGTACCCTCAATTTTCACATGGAATATCAAACGTCTATACCATTATATGAATTTCAAACTAGGTGTTCAAGTTTTTAGTTGGACTGCTATGCTCAGAGATTAATTTTGCTGAAAATCATAGTAAAGGTAAAGGTAAAGGGACTCCTGACCATTAGGTCCAGTTGCAGACGACTCTGGGGTAGCGGCACTCATCTCGCTTTACTGGCCAAGGGAGCCGGCGTACAGCTTCCGGGTCATGTGGCCAGCATGACTAAGGCGCTTCTGGTGAACCAGAGCAGCACATGGAAATGCTGTTTACCTTCCCGCTGGAGCAGTACCTATTTATCTACTTGCACTTTGACGTGCTTTCGAACTGCTAGGTTGGCAGGAGCAGGGACCGAGCAATGGGAGCTCACCCCTCGTTGCAGGGATTTGAACCGCTGACCTTCTGATCGGCAAGCCCTAGGCTCTGTGGTTTAGACCACAGCACCACCCGCATCCCCCACAGCGCGACCGCGTTCATAGTACTGATCGCCAAATAGATCATAGTACTGATCGCCAAATAAAGCTGTTCGAGCTGTAAGAGTAGGTTGCTTTGCTTTGTTTTTTTGTAAGGATTTCATTTTTCACTAGCAGGTTTTTGTATTATAGCTTTGTACAGTAGCCAAAACACAAGTTAATTTTTTGTAACTCCGATTTCAGAAGACTTTGGCTACAACTGAAAGCAGAAGTTGTCTCTGAAACTTAATACAGTGGTACCTCGGGTTAAGTACTTAATTTGCTCCGGAGGTCCGTTCTTAACCTGAAACTATTCTTAACTTGAAGCACCACTTCAGCTAATGGGGCCTCCTGTTGCCGCCGCCGCACAATTTCTGTTCTCATCCTGAAGCAAAGTTCTTAACCCGAGGTACTATTTCCTTTGGTTCAAACCCTGAAATCTTCACCTGCCGAAATAATCTCAGGAAACAGAGATGGGGGAAATCAATACTGGCCTGAGACTCTGGGGAGCTGATGCAAGAAAGGATGATAGTCTATCTCAGCAGAATGGAGTTTCCTAGGTTCTGAAGCTCAATAGTTCTAGATATTGACTGTGTTCAGAGACAACACCAAATTGTGGTATGGTGTTTCAAGAATGTACACACATCTTCCCTTTCTCTCCTCTGGTATAGGCATAAGGAGATGATAAGATGCTTCAGGTTCTGATTTAGAGTAACCAATGTTTAGTGTGCCTTACGTTCCTGTGCCATCCAAACTCCTTAACTGTGGTTAATGATGGTTAGCAAAAACCTAGTTGGTTATTAATTGATGCTGTTGTTGCTGTTGTTGTTATGTAAATTTAATTAATAAATTATTATTTATTAAATTTGTATCAACCGTGGTTTGTCATTGGCTTGTTTCTATTGGTAGATAAGAGTAACTACAGTCTGTCCAGGTTTTAATGGCACAGCAAAATGCGGTTAATCAAAACTTCTCCTCACAGTGGCAAAGGAGAGAAGAGCATGCAGAACTGGAGAAAACTAGCAGGACTGGCCAAAGACATTCAGGATAAACAGCAAATGGCAGCTTAAGCAGCTGCTTGAGATGACTGTCCACTCCACCTGATAGCAGGGCTGGTCCTGGTGCTAGATGATGTCTCATAATGCTTAACTATGTTGAACTCATCCCATCACGAAATCTTACCTTTCTGCTTGACGTAATGTCAGATGTTCTGTAGCCTGCAGAAATTGAAGCTCTCTTTATTTTATGCCGCAGTCCTTTTCAGTGTTTCCTTAGTCTTCCTTCTCTGCATTTCAAGACAGTCACCACTCTTAAACATAAAGTCAATGCCTTGGTGAGAAAAGAACTCCAATCCTTTCTCAGCTTAGGCTTGTTCACATGTTACACTGAACAGAGGTAGACATGTACAAGTTTCTATGTGAAAGAGTATACACTTGTTGATCTGTACAATTCTGCTGTTGTGTACACATGTACACACTGTACACTCATTGAACATTATAGATGAATAGCTGTATGAGTGTATAGCTCAACTATTTGGGTATGCAGGTACACAGATTGTACTCTTTTTGACTGCGACATATGAGCAACCTGTGTATCTCTTTAACCTGAAACCATAGAAGACAAAAATATTCTCCTGTTACAGTAAAATAATCTCTAATCCAAAGTCACTCCAGAATGCATGCTGCGAGCATAGCAATAACCCTCCCTTTGTCTTGGGATTCACCTAGTCCTAGATGGTAGCATCATGGCAATTTATGTCATCAGGCTTCATCACCACCAGTTCCCATAACATCAATCTATTTCCCTCAGGATCACACACAGCCAACTAGTGGGTGGGGATTTCGTTTGTTTTCAAAATACAGTGGTACCTCTGGTTAAGAACTTAATTCGTTCCGGAGGTCTGTTCTTAACCTGAAACTGTTCTTAACCTGAAGTACCACTTTAGCTAATGGGGCCTTCCGCTGCCGCCACTGCGCAATTTCCGTTCCCATCCTGAAGCAAAGTTCTTAACCCTAGGTATTATTTCTGGGTTAGCGGAGTCTGTAACCCAAAGCGTCTGTAACCTGAAGCGTATGTAACCCGAGGCAGTGGCGTAGCGTGGGGGGTGCAGGGGGGGCCAGCCGCACCGGGTGCAACATCTGGGGGTTAGGGTTAGGGGGCGCAAATCCATGGGTTAGGGGGCACAAATTACTTGCCTTGCCCCAGGTGCTGACAACCCACGCTACGCCACTGACCCGAGGTACCACTGTAAATCTATAATGATATCTCCTGTTGGCAAACTATAATGAGAGGTATTGAAAAGGAGGAGGTGGTAGTATATTATTACTGTTACATTATATATATATATATATGAATCACCTTTTCTCCAACCGAATCCAGGGATTGCATCAATGATTAAAACAAATACAAAAAATGAGGTTCATAAATAACATGACTTATTTAAAACACACAGTCAGTTGCATCACTCAGTAGATGTCAGGAATTGGACTCAAGAGGACGAGATGGAGGAGGAATGGTGGAGATCACACACACACACACACACACACCCATTCTCCTGATGCTGCAAGAGAGGAGGAATGTAGTCTTGATTTACAGCAGGGGTTTGAGGAAGGTCACAGCTCAGAGATAGATGAACAGAAGAGGGGAGAGACTCCATCAGGCAAGGCCTTCTTCCACCTGCCTTGCCCCACCCTCCAGTCTCTGCTTCTGAATTTGTATTGTATTATTTTATGTACCGTGGCTTGCCGTTGTTTTATTGGTTGCAGTTTTGAAATTATTTATTGTAATTGTTAAGAGTGTGTTTCTGTTTAATTTTTATATGCTGATATTATTATTCTATACTATTCTAATTATTGTTGAGTGTTACTTTATTTGATGTAGATTGCTTATTTTAAAGCTATCTTTTTGTATTGCATTAGATTGTTATAAGGTGTACATTATTTGTTTCTTCAGCTTGTAAACTGCCTTGAGTACTGCAAGATAGAAAGGCGGTATACAAATTAAAAGTGAAGATGAGGATAAGGATGAGGAAAGAATGATGAGTTGGGAAGTGTTAGGATAAGCCACCATAAAGGGAAATGCTGTTGCTAGGAAGGAGGGAGGAAGGGATGAGCTGGAGCAACGCCATTGTTAGGGCTTGCTGCACTCTTTTGTCTCTCGCTATTATGAATGAAATAATAATAATAAATAAATAAAAATTGTACCCCGCCCACTTTGCTGGGTTTCCCCAGCCACTCTGGGTGGCTTCCAACAAAGATTAAAAAGACATTAAAATGTCACACATTAAAAACTTTCCTAAACAGGGCTGCCTTCAGATGTCTTCTAAATGTCAGGTAGTTGTTTAACTCTTTGACATATGATGGGAGGGCATTCTACAGGGCGGGTGGCACTACCGAGAAGGCCCTCTGCCTGGTTCCTTGTAGCTTTGCTTCTCACAGTGAGGAAACTGCCAGAAGGCCCTTGGCGCTGGACCTCAGTGTCCGGGCAGAATGATGGAGGTGGAGACGCTCCTTCAGGTATACTGGGCTGAGGCCGTTTAAGGCTTTAAAGGTCAACACCAACATATAACACCGGTCCTGAAAGACCTACATTGGCTCTTGGTACGTTTCTGAGCACAATTCAATGTAGGTCTTTCAGGACCGGTGTTATATGGTCTCGGCGGCCGCTCCCAATCACCAGTCTAGCTGCCGCATTCTGGATAAGTGGACTCTACCTTGTTATCTCTACCTCCTGCTGTCACAAGGGGAGGAATAGACTTCCCAAGCCCTGACAGTAGAGAACTGGCAGCATTCACTCCACAAACTAATGATGTAATGGGTTTGAATTAGGGAAATCCTCAAATAGCTATCAGTTTTACATTCCCACCAGCATATGAGATGAAGTCCAATTCAACAGATTCCTCCTGCGTTGGCGCAAGAGGCCCCCAGGGCAAAAAAGGTTCTCTCCATGACTAGACATGTCTCGCCTACACAGATGGTTTTTCTCCCTCTGTCATAACACTAAAACTCATGGGCATCTAATGAAACTAGACAAAGGACAAAGAAAATGCAGTCATTGTTGAGACTTTGGTTTTCTGGCAGCTTTTGGAGTGAACAGTTAGTGGGTTGGCAACAAGCCAAGTTAAACGGAGTATGTGAGAAAGACTGCTTGGAGATAAGGAAGCCTAGCAACAGGTGGTGATTGGCTGAGTTCTTCCTTATAAGGAGAATGACAAAGCAGTTTTCTTGTTGGAGTATTGGAGTGTTGAAGTTTGGAAAGAAGTTTGAATCTTCTGTGTATGGTCTGAATAGTTGAATAGTCTGTACATAAAGCAACTTGTACAAAGCTGTGCTTTACTCTGCTGTATATAAATCTTAAAAAGTAGAGACATCACCTTGCCAACAAAGGTCCGTATAGTAAAAGCTATGGTTTTCCCAGTAGTGATGTATGGAAGTGAGAGCTGGACCATAAAGAAGGCTGATCGCCAAAGAATTGATGCTTTTGAATTATGGTTCTGGAGGAGACTCTTGATAGTCCCATGGACTGCAAGAAGATCAAACCTATCCATTCTGAAGGAAATCAGCCCTGAGTGCTCACTGGAAGGACAGATCGTGAAGCTGAGGCTCCAATACTTTGGCCACCTCATGAGAAGTGAAGACTCCCTGGAAAAGACCCTGATGTTGGGAAAGATGGACGGCACAAGGAGAAGGAGATGACAGAGGACGAGATGGTTGGATGGTGTTCTCGAAGCTACCAGCATGGGTTTGACCAAACTGCGGGAGGCAGTGGAGGACAGAAGTGCCTGGCGTGCTCTGGTCCATGGGGTCACAAAGAGTCAGACACAACTAAACAACTAAACAGCAACAACATATAATAAAACTAACTAAAAATCAAGTTCTGTTCCTGTTCGGCAGCTGGTAGCAAGAGTTTTGGTTGAGATCCATCAACCTTAGGACCTTAGTTCTCAAATGCCTTGGTACTCATACGTCTTGGCTCCTGAACGCTGCAAACCCAGAAGTAAGTGTTCCAGTTTGTGAATGTTTTTTGGAAGCTGAACATCTGGCTTCCTCGGCTTCCAATTGAGTGCAGGAAGCTCCTGCAGCCAATCGGAAGCCGTGCTTTGGTTTTCGTACATTTTCAGAAGTCGATCGAACTTCCGGAACGGATTACGTTCGAGAACCAAGGTACGACTGTAATGTGATTCTTCACACACCATGCAATTAAAGTGCTGCCACGATCAGAACACGGGAAGTCACCCAATTTGTTTAATTTGGAATGTATAATTGGCTTTATAAATTGCATTATGATTTGGCACGATTTGATATTGTAATGTGGCCCAAATTGGAGTGCTATCAATGAAAAAGTCATAAAAATTGTATTTTTTAAAAAAATTAAGTGCTGCCACCAGAGGCAGTGATGGCCAACAACTTGGAAGGCTTTGAGAGGATTAGACAAATTTACAGCATATAAGACTATCTATGATCTACTAGCCATCATAGCTATGCTCTTCCTCCATAGTCAGAGGCAGTCATGCTTTTGAATGCCAGTTGCCAGACACTGCAGCAGGGGACAGAGTGCTTGTGTGCTTGGGTCCCATTTGCCGATTTCCTCTGAACTTCTGGTTAGTCGCTACGAGAACAGGATGCTGGAGTAGATGGGCCATGAACCTGATCCAGCAGGCTTTTATGTTTTTACCCACCAAACTACATGTAGACCTACAGCCCTTTTGCCCCTTTATTCAGTTGAAAAGGTCTAGTGGCTTACATAAAATCAATAATAAACAATATAATTATGGCCCACAGACTTAAAATCCATAAACAGGGGTGAGCAGATGGCAAAGGAAGATCTTCTGGTAGATTGGCAAGAGTTCCTGACTCCTAATAGTTTCCCCATAGCAACAACCACAAGGAGTTGTTGTTAGGCCTCTCCTCCTCAAGGAGGGGAGGTGTTGTGGGCGAGACGCGATTTCTGCGCCACGCAGGGGGCATTATGCCCCCTGCCCCACTCGCCTGGCTGGCGCACCACGCCCACAGGTAAGTGCCCAACTGGGCGGCTTGGAGGGGGAGTGGAGTGCAGTTAAAGACACCGCCGCGCCAGCCATTCTGCCTCACTTTTCCCCTTCCCGTCGCAAGTCACCCGCCCACCACTCCCTTAGGGCTTAGCTTTTCACTTGACCTTGCTATGGACCTTTGGTTGGTCACCCAGGTTGCCCAGGGGGCCTGGTAGGAATTTTTCCAACTGGCATTAGGCCTTTTGGTTTTTTCGCCTGCCTCGTAGCAATCGTCACAACTTTCTTGGTATTTGGCGGTTAGGCATTGGAATGTGTTGTTGGTGTGTGGAAGGGCTAGGTGTGGCCCCTTCAAATTTGGGTATTCCGTTAAAGGAATCCGGCAGTCGTGGATCCTGTCCGATGCCTGTGTGGCAGGGGGCCATGGCACTGAGGCATCTGATCAAGGCCTGTATTTTAAAATGAGCTTAAAGATATATTTGCAAATGTTTGTATGTTTCATGCCAGGCAGAAACCAGCTGGCTAAGTACTTTGGCAGTTGTTTATCTTCCTGCTCTCCTGAACAAGGCCCCCACCCCTGATTTATAGCAGTAGCAGGAGACAAGCTTCTCAAAGTTGTAAAAGGGAATTACAGGCTGGGAGCAAATGTTACACTGACCCTACATATTACAGAATACAATCAAGCTGCAAAAACACTAATTAAGAGTTGGTAAATAGTAAGATTTATTGTATCTTTTATGATTGGTTCTAGCAAACAGCCAATAGGAATTTCAACCAGGCTGATTGGACAGAGGCAGCCAAAGGAGGAGCAAGGGGGCTGGGCTGAGGAAATATAAGCGCTGGCCATCAGGGCTGGAGGGGGCAGAGCTTTAGTAACCATATACCACTGTGCCTATCATTTATTTGTCTGACAAATAAATTATTATTTTAATTTCTCTATTGCTGTGTTGAATATTTCATTCCAGCTAGGCGTTAACCACAAGCAGGGTGCTACAGCACAACCCTCGGTGACATCAGGGGAGAGCTTATAGTTGTATTGGCATCAACAGGCTCCACCTTCTGGTGAATAAACCCCCTTCAGGCTCACCCCTCTCCAAGTGGGTGGAGTCAATCTGTCGTGGTCTAATGCCTAAGCCAATACCTTCTCATTTGCTGTAATCAATAAAGTTGTGGCCTTTTCTTGCCCATTAACCTTATACACTGTGTCCGTGTGTCTTCATTCCACAAAGTGGGGATTGGGTCCTCGAACTACAATCTATCTATCTATCTATCTATCTGTATAAAAATATATATGACAGTGGTTTACAACATTACCATTATTATTATTATTTCAGTTTATTAGTTGCTACCCACATAAGGCGGCTCCAAGCAACTTGCAGAATTCGAGAGCATAAAGCATGACACAAAATAAAAAAAGGAATGGTACATTACAATAAAAGTCATACAATAATCTATAAACAGACCCATAAACAGCAGCAAAACTTTCAGCAAGATGATAGGTGGTGAGCAGAGCAGAGCTGGATTTTTAGCACATATGATACTGTGCCAGGGCCAGCCAAGATACAAGTAGATGTCTTAATGCAGAATTGGATTAATCGGGTTATTTATTTATTTATTTATTATTTATACCACTTAACTGCAATTGTCTCTAAGCAGTGTACAATAAGCTGAACAAATACAACAGAGACAAACGCCATTACAAGCCAGCTATAAAATCACAAATGACCTTAAATTCTTACTGAAATAAAAAGTTACCGACTAGTCTCCAGAAGTTCCATCAGGGAGTGGCCCTGTCTCATCTCAGTTCCACAAAATTGAACCCACCATATTGAATGCATGATGTTTCATGAATATGAGCTGTGCCACCAAATTATGGGAGACAAATGACTGTAACTCCCCTGAAGTCCTCAGTGTTCAAGCAGGGATGTGTAGAAAGAGGCAGGTGGAAGATTCAGTTTCAAAAAACAAAAAACAAAACGGTGGATGGGTGGGTGGAGAGGATGAAACATCCCACCACCATTATTCTCACAGCAACCCATGAAGTAGGTCAGGTCAAGAGATTATGACTGAACCAGACAGAAACAGTTTGCTCCCCCTTTCATAGTACTAGATCCAGGGCCATGGAACAAAGCTGAAAGCAAAGAGATTCAAGATGGAAGAAGGGTATTCATCATCCTATACACTCCATTAGACTGTGAAATTTGCTACCACAGGACATGGTGGGAGCCACCAACAAAGATGGTTTTAGAATAGGATTGGAGAAGTTGATGGAGGATACAGCAATTGGTGGCTACTGGTAATGAGGGCTACATAGTGACCAGTTTACTTGAACTCACCACTTGCCAAGCTCTCTCTCTGCTTCATTCCTTCCCTTTCATTCAGCAAAATACCTTCCTAAATACAAGTTTCTTCATTGCCCTTTTGATTTCTTCACTTCTCAAGGAATAGATGATGGGGTTTAGTGCAGGGGTGATAGCTGTGTAGAAAATGGACATCACCTTCTGAACCGAGTTGGTTGTGGCTGGCTGCAAGTATATGAGGACACAAGGGACGTAGAGAGTCAAGACCACGATGAGATGAGCCGTGCAGGTGGAGAAAGCTTTTCTCTTTCCTTCCTCCGAGCGCATCTTCAGTATGGTGGCAACAATATGTGCATAGGAGCCTGCGATCAAGATGAAGCAACAGAGGGCAACCACGCCAACATTGATCATGATGACAACTTTGTTTATCGATGTGTCAGCACAGGCCACTTTGAGCAAAGGTGGGACATCACAGAAGTAGTGCTCAAGCTCATAAGGGCCACAGTAAGGGAGGCGGAAAGTGAGGACGGTCTGAATAGTAGAATGGATGGTCCCGACGAGGCACGTTCCAGCTATGAACTGGGCACAAACCATCTTGCTCATAATGGAAGAGTAGCGAAGGGGGTTGCATATGGCCACATAACGATCAAAGGCCATGACAGTGAGGAGAAAGCCCTCTGTGCCCCCACAGAAGTGGAAGAAGTAAAGCTGAGCCACACAGCTCTGGTAAGAGATGCTTTGAGAGCCATTGATGAAGCCAGCCATCATCTTCGGAACGGTGGTAGTGGAGTAACACACATCTAGGAGGGACAGTTCAGAGAGGAAGTAGTACATAGGGGAGTGGAGCTGAGGACTGAGGCGGATTGTGAAGAGTATGACGGCATTCCCGAGCAACGTCAAGAGGTAAATGGCAAGAAAGAGAGTGAAAAAGATCTGAAGACCCTGGACTTCAGAGAAACCCAGGAGGGTGAATTTAATCACAAGAGTGAAGTTGTCTTTCTCCATCTACCTTCAATTGATTGTTGTGGTTGTTAATGGCACACACCTGAATGTGGGAAGAAAATGAGAATTATGAGGAGGGGAAGTGGAGGAGGAGGAGGAGAAACTAATCAGTCCATTTTGATTTATCTACATTTCATTTTTTCCAATCAGTTTGCCACATTTCCACATCAATTTACATTTTTAAAAAACCCTCATGGAAATTCACCAGCATTTCTCCAAATATAGTCAGAATTCTGCATGCAATTTTGGCTAATACACACATTTTGGCAAAGCGTGTTCTCCATCACGGAGATCACGTGTTGCGGTTGGGGATTCCAAGACACCTTGCTGTTTCTGGGCAGATGGTTTGGCCAACTCGTAAGCAGGGGCGGGCTGTTACTGGGGAAAATTACATGTTGCCATTTAGTGATTGACAGCCCTATTTGTTAAATACAAGGCACACAGCAACGGACGTCCTCTTTCGCTGCGTGCTTCGGATCACCCGCCTTCCCTTCCCTAATGTTAGGCTGTTTGCTTGACCTTGCTATTGCCTGTCATGGGGTCGTCTGCTTTGGGGCAGGGGCCCAGTAGGAATTTTGCCATTTGGCTGATTAGTGTGTGCCACTTGGTTTTCGCCTACCGCGTAGCAAATTGTCACAACTTGTAAGGTTTGCGGTTAGGCATTGGTCTGGAATTGGTTGCTGGGGGGGGTATGGATTCGGCTGTGCCTGCCCCTCCAAAATGCTGCTGCTGCTGCTGCTGAAGGGTTTTACCGTTAAAGGAACCCAGGGGCTCCCCCATGCTTTTGTCTGAAACCCCTTGGCAAGGGGCTAGGGCCACGCAAGCCCCTGGGAGCATGCTGGGGAGAGGTGAGGCATGGTTTCCAGTCCCGTCTCTCTCCCCAGGTGACTTACCCTTCCTGACTTCGCGGGGGGTGCGAATGTCAGAGCTGTCCCTGTGCGGGGTCAGTTAGTGCTACCAATGCCTAAGCAACCACTCACATTGCTGTATTTGAATAAAGTTGTGGCCAAAATTATGCCAAAAAAATTAAACAAAAATTAAGTGTCAATTGTGTTTTCCTTTGGGGTGTATTGGGGACCTCGACACGCAAATAATTTTGCCTAACATAATGCATTCTGTATATTGATTTCACTAATATATGCATTTCTACGCACTCTTCCCCCTAATATATGCATTTTTGTACACAGCATTTGGTTAGAGAGCAGCATTGTGAAATACAGAGAATAGCCAATTTTGATGGGTAGCTGTGTTTTCCTTCACTTTTTATTTCAGGAAGTTGAAACTAGGCAGGTTTGCTTCTCTTTTCTTCCAACAGTCACTTCCCACAGCCACTTCCCACAGCATAGTCTCCCTAATCAAATTAGGAGCAATATGCAGATCAGGTGTGTTCTCACCCTGAAATATCTGGGTTGAGGAGCTAGCCCTCTTAAAGACATACTAAGCTATGAGAACATTGATTCTTAACTATGGACCTTTTCAGTCAGCAATATTTGAACTTACCTGAACCACAAATAAGCCGGCAAAAATCAGTTGCATTGGCCTTCAAATGCAGAACATAGCTGTATCTCTCTGGCAGAAGATCTCCCTGTCTTTATAGGAGCTCTAGGATGTCTCCAGACAATGGCTCTTGCATCAAAGTCAATACGTGATCTACAAGAACATGAGTCCCACAACTATGGAAATTTCCAGTTGGAAGGATTTGAACTGCTGGTAAAACTGAATGTCAGATTAGTTGTATTCACGTGTACAATATTCTTGCAACTTGCAAATACTCTGACAACTAGATCTCCCTGTATTTTTAGAGATGGGTGATCCAAGTCAATGACCCGTGCAGCTTCTTTAGCTGCCTTGAGAAGGAGCCAGTGTTTGCATCTTCTTCAGAAGTTGCAAGACGCTTCAATGAGAAGCTCTAGAATGTACAAGGACAAAACAAATGTCTTCCTCAGCCACATTTCAAGGTCGGTTTGAGTACACCAGCTGGGGGAGTTATGAACCCTCTTCTCACCATATCTCTGGTTCTTATTCATCATGGGAGACGAGAATTCTCCCCAAGCATATTTTGACATCAGTTTGGTGACTCCAAGGAAAAGTACCTTAAAGGATCTGCACACCAAGTTTAATGAGCAATTACTGGTGTTTGCATCATTTGTGCAGAATAATAACTACCAGTGAGAAATGAGAGTTTGTTGTATTTGTATCCATGCAGTATTTTATCTCTCCAAAGGACTTCTAATTTCATCAGATACCTGGTCTTACTACATTCGGTCATAAAATACAACAAATAACATTTTAGAATGAGATCAGGTTTAATAACAGAAAAATAAAGTGGTTTTTTTCCCATTTTCTATTTTTTGGATAATTTTATTCTTTATTTAACATAATTGTTACAAAATATAAGCAAAATGTTACAAATACGTACATACATATATATTTCAAATAAGCACATATATATGAAAAAAGGAACAAAAGAGAAGAAACGAAGAAAAGAAAAAAGAAGAAAAGAAAAAGAGGGGGGAGGAGAAGAAATGTTGGTTCCTGATGTTTGGGTTATTCCTTCAGAGAAGCTGAGTATGGCTGGCTTAAAATGGTTCTGTTATTTCTTTCTGTCAAGGTCATGCTGACTATAATAATAAGGCCAGAAGGAGCCTGGGTTTCACCTTTCTATCTCTCTTTCCTTCTGGTATGGTGTTCTGTATATAGCATGCTTACTTAGTGTTAAGGTTTCAGTCTTATTATAAGTTACTGTAAGTTTAAGTTACGTCTGCTGCAACTGGATTTCTTACGGACAGTGCCAATCCTGAATGTACAGTGGTACCTCGGGTTAAGAACTTAATTCGTTCTGGAGGTCTGTTCTTAACCCGAAACTGTTCTTAACCTGAAGCACCACTTTAGCTAATGGGGTCTCCTGCTGCCACTGTGCCACTGCTGTACGATTTCTGTTCTCATCCCGAAGCAAAGTTCTTAACCCGAGGTACTATTTCTAGGTTACTGGAGTCTGTAACCTGAAGTGTATGTAACCTGAAGCGTATGTAACCTGAGGTACCACTGTATTGGATTTGTGACCATCTGCCTTCAGTAGCCATAAAGCTCTGCTGAATGAAATATTAATTGCCTCTGGTCTATTTTTGGGGAATCCTGCAGCTAAGTTTTTACTCTGCTAACTATACGTTGGAGTTCTCCTCTGGATCAATATGAGTAGTATTCATGGCACGACTATCCCCCACAAATAGACATAGGATTGTATCTAACAAAGTTATGCTCAGAATAGACCCATTGAAAATATTGGAGCAAATATAGTCATGTCCATTAAGAACATAACATCAGAAGACCACTACTGGATCACGCCCAAGGCCCAGCTAGCCCAACGTCCTGTTCTCACAATGGCAAACCAATAACCCACAGGAAGATCTATGCGCAACAGCAACCCTCCCCACTTGTGATTCCCAGCAACTGGCATTCAGAGGTTCTACTCTGAGCAAGACTAGCAGTGGCGACAACTCATAGAGGTACAATTCATCCCAACTCATGGTGCTTCTGTCTACAGGAGCTGCATCGCTGTCCTTCAAGAAAACACCTTCTTGAATGCCAGTTTCTTCACCATCTTCTTGATTTCTTCATTTCTCAAGGTGTAGATGATGGGGTTCAGGGCAGGTGTCACAGATGTGTAAAAGAGGGCCACAATGTTCAGGGCAGAGTGGTTGGTGGATGGCTGCATGTAAATGATTATGCAAGGGCCATAAAGGAGGAGGACCACAGTGAGGTGAGACGCGCAGGTGGAGAAGGCCTTCCTCTTCCCTTCCTCGGAGCGCATCTTGAGAATTGTGGTGGCAATGCGGATATAAGAACCAAGGATCAAAGCAAAGCTGCTCAGGGCCACAACACCAATGTTCACTGTGACCACGGTCTCATTCAGAGAGGTTTCTGCACAGGCTACCTTCAGTAAGGGCGGGACATCACAGAAATAGTGGTCAAGTTTGTAAGGCCCACAGTAAGGGAGGCGAAACGTGAGCACAGTCTGAAGAGTCGAATGAAGTGCCCCCACCAGGCAAGTTGCAGTCACCAGTCTGATGCAAGACACGTTGCTCATGATCCCAGAGTAGCGGAGAGGGTCACAGATGGCCACATAGCGGTCATATGCCATGACAGTGAGCAGGAAACACTCGGTGCCTCCAAAGAAGTGGAAGGCATAGAGCTGAGCCACACAGCCCTCAAAGGAAATGGCTTGGGAACCAGTCAGGAAACTGGTCAGCATCTTGGGCACGGTGGTGCTGGAATAAAGCACATCCAGGATGGAAAGCTCGCCAAGAAAATAGTACATGGGGGAATGGAGCACAGGGCTGAACCAGATGGTGAGGAATATGAGGATGTTCCTAGAAGAGTTAACATGTAGATGAAAAGGAAGAGCAGGAAAAAGAGGAGCTGGAGCTCCAGCACATCAGAAAACCCAGAGAGAGTGAACTGAATCCCCACAGTCAGGTTGGGTTTCTTCATCTAATCGTGGTTGTGTTCCAGATCATGGGAGCCTAATTAAGAAGGTATAGCACCTAAGCAAGAAGATCAAACAAAAGCAGAAATTCTTCTCTGCCCCCACAGCTGCCATTAGAAAAAACAGAGAAAGAAATGTTAAATACACATCACTATGCCATCCCTTTACTGAGCACTGGACAGAACACAATGAGCAGGATTTAATAAGCAGAAATATTGGACGCAGGTACATTTGATGGATGAGATGGGGTGTAGGCAAGCATGAGGATGGAAGTGGATTGGGTGTTTGGTGATAGTAGAGGTGCTGGCAAATTGAGCACAGGCTACTTCTAGGAATGGAGGAGAAATTTGGATCAGTTCACATCTGAAGGCAAACCTACCTAATTTACATTTCCCAGCACAACTCACAAACCAAAATGCAGCCATTCATTCAAAATTCTCACTTCTCTGAATTTTTCAATGCAGTTAGATTTGCCATACATCAGAAAAATTCCTGACATGTCCTAGTTTTCGGGTGTAAAAATGGTGTCAGGGGGGATTTGGCAGAATTGGGGAAATGTCTGGGAAAGCGTGATGGGAAAAGCAGTGGAAACAGCTCCAAAAGCTAAAAATCACTATGGGGGGAGGTGTTTCCCCAACAATTTTGGTTTGTTCCCCCCAAAAACTCAACAAAAACTCCGGAATTTTACTTTTTTGAAATATGGTAACCCTAAATACTACCATGTAGTGTGTACAACAATGCACATGCTAGGTTAACATGTGCATTTAAAAATATATTAGTGAAAAAACCTACAAAAATGCATTATATAAGGGGAAATGGCTTGCAGATATGTTTATACTGAGGGAAACTGCTACAGGTTTTTGCTAAAGGTGCTGAGAGTTGTTAGGAGACCCTTATTCCCCTCATAGAGCTACAATTCCCAGAGTTCCCTGGGATTGAGTGTTAAACCCCTCTGTGTAGATGGGGCCTCAGAGTAGATCATTCTGGGCTAGATGGATCAATGTGCTTCTGACTCAGTAAAAGGCAGCATCATGTGTTCACATGAGTCCAAACCATTTTTTTGCAAGTAAATCCAGATTTGAGTGAAGGCTCTGGCAATAGAATTCCCCAGCATTGTCACAGAAGCAATAGGTGCATCGGTACCGCTCCAGCGGGAAGGTAAACAGCATTTCTGTGCGCTGCTCTGGTTCGCCAGAAGCGGCTTAGTCAGGCTGGCCACATGACCCAGAAGCTGTACGCCGGCTCCCTCGGCCAATAAAACGAGATGAGCGCCCCAGAGTCGGCCATGACTGGACCTAATGGTCAGGGGTCCCTTTACCTTTATCTTATGCTTAAAACCCCTTTCAAACTATCTCTGAACCACACTTGATGAACAAACACTAGTTTTGCACCCCTATGTTAACACAAAAACAACCTTGAATCTGATTCACATTGCTCAGTTTGTCAGAGTAAAACAAAACAAAACAAAACAAATATGTTGAAGAGTCATCCAAGCTACCTTTCCTCCAAAGGACTACAGAAATTCCACCATGGGTACATCTGATATCAAGGCCTTTGAAAGTCCCTTCTACATTTTAATCCATTGCAGCTGATCAGTTTATCGTCATGAAGGAATTTATGGAGACTCTCCTGTTGTGCATGTTGAACATGGGCAGGATGGAAAGAGAAAACATTTTATAAACATCCTGTAACCCCAGGGAGACAACCAAATAATTCCCCTCAGAGTAAAGGTGCTGAGACGCAGGCAAACATGTGTTCATAAATTATATTGATTTATTTCCCTTGCTATTTCCTCAGCAAGGGACAGGATTAATGTTGCAATAAGAGGGCGTTCATAGGGAGTGGACTGTAGGTTCATTCCTTATCTAAGATTCTATAGTGTGACAAATATGATTACATTGGCAGTTCCCCTTCTGCCAGTGCTTTTCTTCTAGAAAAATAGTGCACTCACCATGAAGTTGTTACACTAAATGCCACATTTTTAACCAGTGCTTTTCACCCAGGGAAAACAGGTGCCGGTACTACATAACCTTGAGTACCACCAGAAAAAAACACTGCTTACTGCTTATACACCATAGACTCCAAAAGCATTGCACAATTGATATTCTCCCCTGTAATTATTAAAATTACAATAATCAATTCACCTGGCCAAGGCTCCAGAAGTCAGAGTGGAAAAAGGATCAACAGGCAAGTCTAAAATGATTATAAGCTCCCCAGCACTTCATAGGCAGCTATGGTAAGGGAGGAGGGAGAGGCTGGGCTTTGTTACCTATCAGTTATGAGTTTCCCCCTTTCATATCAAATCACTGTATCTTGTTTGGCATCTGAGGCTTTCTGTTGTGACAGTCTTTAAGTTGACAATAAGGTGAATACGTGTCCCTTACAGTGCCAAATTGAAAGAGTCAGCTGCTACCCAATTTGTCTTGTTCAGATCAGGTGGAGGAGAGGAATAATACTTTAGAGAGAATCAGGGGTGTCCATGCATACAACGGTATTTGCCGTCAGGATGTTCCTCCTGCTGCTTCTGCTGCTCCCCAATATAGTGTCCCAAGGACAAAGTGCTAAATGCACAACAAATAATCCTGTTCATGTTCCACACGAGTGGTATGAGCCAGGTGACCTGGTCATTGGTGCAATGGCATCCCATATCTGTTATATCGTCCCCAATTTATCCTTCAATATACACCCTTCCCAAGCCTTCATTTATAAGCCAATGTAAGTAACCAGTATTTTTTTGTATTTTTTTTTTATTCCTTAAATGTTGTATCTGACTTAAAATAACTTGAATTGATTTGGAATGAAAGCTTTAGAACTTTGTTTTTTAGACATCTCTAGGCACACAGGCACTTTAGTATATTCTTCTGACACAGCTGTATAATACTACAGTGGTACCTCTGGTTGTGAACGGGATCCGTTCTGGAGGCCCGTTTGCAACATGAAAAGCCTGCCGTATCTGCGCAGGTGCATGGTGCGATTTGGCGCTTGTGCGAGCGGTGAAACCCGGAAGTAACCCTTTCCGGTACTTCCAGGTCGCCGCGGGACACAACCTGAAAAAACATATCATGAAGCAAACGTAACATGAGGTATGACTGTATCGTCTAAAAAATGTATAAACCTTTCTGGTTGTGTCCTCTCTTTACAGAAAGGCAAGTGAATCTCTCATATCTAGATTATGCGCACGCTGTAATTTTCCCACTAAACAGTAACTCAATTCATTTGCAGAGTGATGACAAAGTTTTACCAGCACATCCTTGCTTTGGTCTTTGCTGTTGATGAGATCAACGAGAATCCCAGGATGTTGCCCAATGTCTCACTGGGATTCCATATCTATGACAATTATTATGATTCAAAGATGAGCTACCGAACCACCCTGGACCTGATCTTTAAATCACGTCACTTTATTCCCAACTACAGGTGTGGCGTCCACAAAAATGTAATAGGAGTCATTGGGGGACTTAGCTCTGATACCTCCTGCTGCATGGCAAACGTCTTGGGTCTTTTCAAGATTCCACAGGTAGAATATGGGTTTTGAACAGAAAAGAAGAAAACTATTCATGCCATAGTCGCTGAAATAAAAACCTCACACATACACTAAGTAAAAGAACATAAGGTTGACCACCCCACACCCTCTCTCCTCTCCCCACCTATTTTCTTCCCAGTCCTATAATGTATATAACACCAATGTCTCACAACAAATGTAACTGATCTATAGAAAACACAACATGAAGAAAGAGACAATGCATGTGCTTTTGTAAATGAGGAAAATCTTTAATAAAAATATTTTAATAAAGACAAATGCATAAATAATTCACAAGACGTTAATTAATAAAGTTCCTCCCATTAAAAATCAAGATATTCCATTCCTAGGGAACTAGGATGTTATCCAGCATTATTAATTTCAGAAGCTAATTGAAAACACTGTTTATTGTTATTGTTCCAGCATTTGGCCTTCTGCAGAGTTATATAGTGGTGTCTATATTGGGCTGTTCTCCTGCATTGTTGGATTTCATTCTTTGTTGTTTTAACCTTGGCTGAAAGTGTTTGGTATGGTATTTCTGTATTTTACTGATATTTTATATGATGTGGTTCATTGTGCTCAGAGAAGAATAACATATGCAATCGAACAGAGATCTTCAGGATTCCCCAAGATATCTTCCCAAGAGAGTTATAAGTAGATAGAGAATCATCCTCTCTCTACAATGGCTATAAAGGTTAGAGAGCAAAATAGCATGATCAACAATTTCTATTGCTCCACCTCCACCTTGGAGTTTTGTTAATTCAACCACCTACAGTATATTAACATGAGCCACGATAAATGCTCCCCTGTTCTTGGAGACTATCAATGTGTACAAGTATGAAGATCTGATGATGCCATAATAATAATAATAATAATAATAATAATAATAATAGTAATAGTAATAGTAATAGTAATAATAATATATGCAGAAAACTTTGAGCAAGATTGTCTTTGTTATCTATGCAAATTGAGGTTGGTGCTGTCCCCAAACTTTGTACAGTAGGGATTCAGAGGTTTTCTATTGATATTCAAAGAAATTTTATTAACATGAGAATTTTTTTGCACTTGGATATGGTTGCCTTTTCCCTTCCCTAGATTTCATATGGTTCATTAGAACAAGGCATAAATGATCAAACCAAGATCCCTTCTTTCTACTGCATGGTCCCCAATGAAGACCTTCAGTATCAGGGAATAATCCAGTTACTTCTGCATTTTGGATGGAAATGGGTTGGGCTCATGACTACAGCTGATGAAGCTGGAGAACATTTCTTGCAGACAATTGAACCCATGTTTTTCAAGAATGGAATCTGTTCAGCATTCACAGAAAGAGTTGAACTCAATCTGCATTATAATGGTAACTTACTAAAAATGCTGTATGACTCAAAGATTTTGTTACCAACTTTCAAAACCAGCAAAGCCAGTGCAGTTCTTGTATATGGAGAAAGTAGATTTAATATATGGTTGTCAAGTGCTTTAAACATAATGGAGTTCACTCCGCTACTATTTCCTCAAAAGAAGTCACGTGAAGGAAAAGTATGGATTACAACAACCCAACTTGATTTCATATTATATAGCCTTCAAAAAAAATTAAATGTTAATATACAAGTGCTCCATGGTGCTATATCCTTTGCAATTGCCTCCAAGGAAATTCACAACTTTAAAGACTTTCTTCGGAGTATACGTCCTTATTGGACAGAGACAGATGGTTTTATCCAAGATTTATGGGAAGATGCATTCAGTTGTTCATTTCCAAATTCCACTCTCTCAATATTCAATGATCACATGTGTACTGGAGAAGAAATGCTGGAAATCCTCCCTGCACCATTTTTTGAAATGAGCATGACTGGCCACAGCTATAGTATCTATAACGCTGTCTATGCTTTGGCACATGCCTTAAATAGCAAGCGATTGGCTGGAGCGATCCACAAGAGTAGAGATGCTAAGGAGAAACTCTCTCCTCAATATGTAGAACCTTGGCAGGTAACATTCTCTCTTACAAAGCATTCACTTCATTGATCCATTATGGGAGTAAGCATTTAATTATCAGTAAAGAAATAACAGAAAAGGACTTGAGAAATTAGAAAGAGTATTAGAATATTTCCTATAATGATAGTAAACAGATTTTAGATGGCACAGACTTTCATAAGCAACAAACTTACTCACATTTTACAGGGGGCAGTTGCACATACAAGCAAAATCATTTAAAGCCAGAATAACCTCTAGAAAACCATTTTTTTTAAAAAAAAAACATCTTAAGAATTGCTGTACTTACTGGCGAGGGACAAATGTGGCTCTTCATCTTCCTTCTCCCCCTCCTCTCCCTCACTGAATGATGCTTCAGATGCTACAAGGACCAAAGAGTTTGAGAGATAGCCAGAAGAATGCTTCGCCTGTTCCACAGGGCACAATTGTGGAGCTTTGCATTCAGTCAGACCACAGTCACACCCTTCTCCTTCTCGTACATCTTGACAGCAGAAACTAATGAAAGGTCCAGTCAGATGTTCTCATATTCCATTCCTACGCTCAGGGAACATGATGTTTGAGAACATGAACATGAGAGCATGAGCTCTTCCTTGACTTCTCAAATTCCTTCCCTTTCTTGGATCTTGACAATGCCAGGTCCCAAGCAAGCAGGTCTATATCCTTAACTCTTTCACATTTATTTATAGAATTCTGTCAACTGTTGAATTTACAATGATTCATGTTTTCCTAGTCTTCCCATATGGGGAATTGAAACAAGGATGTTCTCCATTGTAAACTGAAGTGTTTAACTCTTAGAGAAAAGGGATTTGATACCATCTAGGAAAGCTCTTCAACAATCATAATCAGACTATTAGAATGCTGTATTGACCTTTTGATTCTCTTTCCACCTAGCTTCACTCATTCCTGCAGAGAATCTCGTTCAACAACAGTGCTGGAGATGAAATTAAATTCAATGAATATGGAGAGTTGGCAGCTGGCTTGGATATTACAAACTTGGTCACATTCCCAAATAGATCTTACATCAGAGTCAAAGTGGGAAGGTGGGACCCTCAGGCCCCTTCCGGCAAAGAGTTCACCATTAATGAGAACAGAATTAAATGGCACAGAGTCTTCACTGAGGTACAGAAATAACTGCACAGGCCATGAAATTCCATAGTTAAGACTCCAGAGATGAGATAGAATCAAGGAGTATCCCAGACTTAAGAAGCTCTTGTTGCAGAGGTCAAATGTAGGAACCACCCATCCAAAGCATTTCTCTTCTATAGGGATTCAGCCCCCATCCCATCCATCACTGTCTTCAGACACTTGTCCAGCACCTTCACCACCTCCTCTCATTCCAATGGAATGGAAAGGTAGAACTTCACATATCAGCATCCAGATGATACCATGAGCCAGATTCTAGGATATTATTCCTAACAGTTTCATTGATATAATAAATAGCACAGGAAACAGAATGGACCATATTGGGACACTACAACCCCAAAGCAATGGGGTGGTTTCCTAGTACTAGTTTCTCAAATGACCCTACAAGAAGTAACAGAAATAATTCACCCAAACCTTGTCTTCATATTAAACTCTTCCTATATCTTTGAATAGGTGCCACCTCTTTCTATATGTAATGACAACTGCCATCCTGGATACGGGAAGAAAAAGAAGGAAGGAAGGAAGTTTTGCTGTTATGATTGTGATCCATGTCCAGAAGGAATGATCTCAAATGAGAAAGGTGGGAGATGTCATCTTAGGATATACCAATTTATTTTAATAAGCTCTGAACTCTTTGGCAAACTTTGTCATTAAACTGATGGAGGAGGGAAGGCTTAACTTAAATAGATGTGTTGTTCTCATTGTTTATAGTTAGTATCAATTTAATTCCATCCTTAAAACATATTAAAAAAATTTTAAGATGGAAGGTCATCTATTTTACCTCCAACTTCTACAAAGTTAGGGTGGAATAGAAGTGGTGGTCTCTCCTGAAAGACTTAGGTTGTTTAACAAAAGGTTGAAAGTCCCATTAATCTTGCCTTTCTGGGCTCCAAAGATTTCTGCAGTAATGTATTTTTAATTTTGCTATGCACTACAAGTCGTTACAACAAAAAGAGAAGGGAACCTGTAAAAAAGATGTCACCCATGTAGAAAATTCCAGATTTCATACAAAAGTTCTCAAACATTTTGAGATAGAAAACACTATCCTAAAATTTCAATGAGGAAATCCTTAAGAATAGTATTGGATGCTTAAAATTGTCATGCATTCTTTGTTTGTTTTCAGACATGGAAACATGTGTCAGTTGCCCAGCAGATCAATTTCCAAAGAGCAGCCAGGATCTATGCATTCCTAAGATTCCAAACTTCCTAGCCTTTGATGAAAACTTGGCCATTGTTTCAACATCCTCTGCACTTTTATTCTCTCTGATCACAATTCTGGTGCTTGGCATCTTCATTAAGCATCGCAATACAGCCATAGTCAAAGCCAACAACAGAAGCCTCACCTATGGTCTCCTTATCTCCCTCCTCTTGTGTTTCCTCTCTTCTTTGTTGTTTATTGGAAAACCTAGTAAGATGACTTGCTTTTTCCGGCAAAATGCTTTTGGCATTGTCTTCTCTGTGGCCCTCTCCAGCATCTTAGCCAAAACCATATTGGTGGTTTTGGCTTTCATGGCTACCAAACCAGGATCCAATATGAGGAAATGGGTAGGCAAAGAACTGGCTTATTCCATTGTCTTTTCCTGCTCCATTGTTCAAGTAGGGATCTGTGTTCTCTGGCTGGCAACCTCTCCCCCATTCCCAGATGTGGACATGCACTCAATGACTGAAGAAATCATATTTATTTGTAATGAAGGGTCAGTCTCCATGTTCTATTGTGTTTTGAGTTACATGGGCTTCCTGGCCACTGTCAGCCTCTCAGTCGCCTTCCTAGCCAGGAAGTTGCCTGACACTTTCAACGAAGCCAAGTTCATCACCTTCAGCATGCTGGTCTTCTGCAGTGTTTGGCTCTCCTTCATTCCAACTTACCTGAGCACCAGAGGAAAATACATGGTGGCTGTGGAGATCTTCTCCATCTTTGCTTCTGGTGCTGGGTTACTGGCTTGCATTTTTGCCCCTAAATGCTACATTATTGTGGTGAGGCCTGACCTGAACAACAGAGAGCAGCTAACACAAAGGAAGGTTTAAATGACAGAGGAATTTGTAGCTCTGTTGGTTCTTAGGTTACCTGGACTTGCTGGCAGGTATCACTTTCCCCTGTTGTTTCCCCACCAAGACCTTACCAGAATATTTACTTTGTCTTCCTACTCTTCTCCTGACATTCAGAAAACATCTTAAGGCAGCCCTGTTCAGGGAAGTTTTTAATATGTAACGCTGTACTGTTTTTAACACTGATTGGGAGCCGCCCAGAGTGGCTGGGGAAACTCAGCCAGATGGGTGGGGTATAAATAATAAATTATTATTATTATTATTATTATTATTATTATTATTATTATTATTATTATTATTATTATTTTCTCCTGCATTCATGTGGGTGCCCCACATTTCTGCTCAAGAGTCTCTGTGCCTTTCCTGAACAAATTTGGGGAAACCATAGGAAGCTGCCAAGAGAAGAGAGGAAGAAAACCACAGGAATACTGGAAACTGCCTAATTCTGAGTTGGACCATTTGTCTATCTGTTGGGACTGTGGCTGCCTCAAAATTTTCTGGGGTTGTCCGGCAGTGGTGCATCAGGAAGGAACTAAACTCAGATATTAGGCTGGGTTACCTGTGAAATAATCTAGACCCAACTGTGTTCTCGGTGTGTCTTCCCGGGATAATGTAGGAGATTCACTGACTGATTCTCCTTCCTACCTGATGTCCCACCCAACGGCATCCTTTCCTTCACCAAATAGTTGCTTGGGGACAGAGAACCTGTAGAATGCTCAACCATAAGCAGCTTCCCCACAAATAAATTGTTTGCAAAAGAGAAAGTTTTGGAATTATACCCCCCCCGCCGCCGCCCCCACCCAATCCTGAGTTTGGAGAAGTTGCAACTTCATATCCTCCCACTCTGCTCCCAGACATATGTTTAATTGGAGCTTTTGACATTACAGTGGTACCTCAGGTTACATATGCTTCAGGTTACATACGCTTCAGTTACAGACTCTGCTAACCCAGAAATCGTGCTTCAGGTTAAGAACTTTGCTTCAGGATGAGAACAGAAATCGTGCTCCGGCGGCGCAGCAGCAGCAGCAGGAGGCCCCATTAGCTAAAGTGGTGCTTCAGGTTAAGAACAGTTTCAGGTTAAGAACGGACCTCCGGAACGAATTAAGTACTTAACCCAAGGTACCACTGTATTAGACATTAGGCCAGTTCTTGATCTGCTTCACGATGGATCCAAGATCATGTCAGAGGTCTTCATCAAGTAGGGCCTGAACTGGATTGCTTTTCACCCCTGTTTCCACCTTCACTCCATGTCCATGCCAGCTCAATGACCTTTTGTGAACAATCTCTGGAACACTAGTTACCCGTATGGATACATGGTTTTGCATGTAACAGAGGACAAAAGACTCCAAAGACTGACAAAGAAAAGCAGTTCAGCAAGTGGCTGCCAACGATATGAACTGGGCTCACTTCAATAAAAAGAAAATGCTACTAAGCTATGCTCCTTCCCTTATCTGCTTTTGGAAATTTGCTCTACTCGTATGTGGATACAATAGCATGGAATCCTATCTCATTTATTTTGCTGTTGGAATAATGACCATATTTCCCTTGAAACTCTTTTTAGCAGCTGCACAGGAAGTAGGGTCAAAGGTGGGAGATGGTAGGGTCTACTTCTCTCTGTGTGACTAAATTACTGGATTTATATGATGTAAATATGATAAAAGGTCTATCTTCTGTCTCTTTCTCTCCTTATTTTTTAGGTTTTTCTTTTTATTAGTCTTGTTCTGTAGACTAGGTTGATTCTTATTATATTCTATGTCAAAAATTTTCAATAAAAAAGTTATATATATATATATGCACTTCCAGTGTATGCAATTCTTTGGGTGGTAGCACACCAAGGCATATGGTAAATAACCACAGTTTGAACAAGTAAACATAAAACCTGAATGAAAACAGCAGAGTGCTTCCTGCTAAATAGTATCTAGAAGTGTTCACTACTGAAGACAATGCTTAAGAATGGAGGAATTGCTGATCCAAATATATTTTTTTTAAAATATTTTTTATTGCATTTTTTCCAGATAGATTTAAACAGCACAGAAAAACAAAGAAAACAAGAAAAGAAAAGAAAAAAGACAGATTACCACCAAAGCTTGTTTCAATCCATCATCGGACTTCCCCACATCTCCCGCACAATGCATTCTCAAATAATATATTTGTCAGCAAATTATCACCTTGTTTCATATGTTTCTTTTGTACTTTCAGTTGCATGTTAAGTTTAAATTACTTATTGTCCAAATTATTCAATAAAAACATATATTATCCTTTTTTAAACATTTAAACATTGGTTCTTTCATTATTATTATCTAATTTCATATATGTTCCACTCTCATTGCTGGGGCTATCCTTCCAAATCGTACGAAATCCTATAGTTCATATAACTTATAAAGTTTTTGCAAATAGTCTTTAAATTTCTTCCAGTCCTCCTCCATTGCTTCTTCTCCCAGATCTCGGATCCTGGCAGTCATCTCGGCCAACTCCATATAGTCAATCAGTTGCGTTTGCCACTCTTCCAGTTTGGGCAAATCTTGAGTCTTCCAATATTTGGCGATAAGAATTCCAGGTCAGCAAGAACTTCCAGCCCTCACAGACTTCATCTTCTTCTGTTCTTGGAGTCTCCTATTCTAATTTCATTTTGTTCTTCCTCAGTTTCCCAAGACAAACACAAACTCTCTGAAAATCCCTGACTGACAGCTTTACTTGCATACATTGTTTCTCTCAATTTCTTAGCCAATCAGAAGCACAGTAGAACTCTATTTAGATTCCCATTACCCCAAATCTTAAGTTTCTTTTGCTTGCAATTTTGTCATTCCTGTGCATCTTCTTGTCCCAGTTTTTCACCCAGGGAGGCTCTTTCTACACTGTAAGAAATATGGAAACATTGGCATTTTCCCTACTGCTGATGTGCTATAGACTCCAAAAACATTGAACATATGATTCTCTACCCTATCATTATTAGAATTACAGTAATCAATTCACCTGGCTGAAGCTTTGGATGTAAAACTGGAAAAAAGGATCAACAAGCTAGTTTGAAATGATTGTAAGCTCCCCAGTGCTTCATAGGCAGCTATGGTAAAGGAGGGGAGAGGGTGGGCTTTGTTATCTCTCAGTTATGAATTTCCCTCTTTCATATCAAATTACTGCATCTTATTAATGGCATCCGAGGCATTCTGCTGTGATAGTCTTTAAGTTGACAATAAGGTGGATACGTGTCCCTTAAAGTACCAAATTGACAGAGTCAATGACCACCCAATCTCTCTTGTTCAAATCAGGTAGAGGACAGCAATAATATTGTAGAGAGAAACAGGAGTGTCTATGCAGAGAAGGACATTTGTCATCAGAATATTTCTTTTGCTTCTGCTTCTCCCCAACATGGGGTCCCAAGTACAAAGTGTTAAATGCACAACAGATAATTCTGTTCATGTTCCACACGAGTGGTATGAGCCAGCGGACCTTGTCATTGGTGCAACGGTATCTTATATGTATTACATATTACCCGAAATTTCTTTCAATGAACACCCTTCCCAGGTCTTCATTAATACCCCACTGTAAGTAACTGGTACTTAATATGATTTTATTTATTCTTTATATGCCATGTCTGTCTGAAAAAAACTTTTGTTTGGAAAAAAAAGCTTCAGAACTTTTTTAAAAAAATGGAAAGATTTTCCAAACACACACACATTTTATTAGAAATCTCAATGCACATAGGCTACACATATACTATCAATGAACGCTGAGCTTTTTTTATCCAATTCCTATAAAGGCAGAGAGAAAAGAGAGTAAGAGCAAGAGAAAAGGGATGGCATAAAAACATAAGAAGAACAAATGGGCAATCAGTGGGGTACTTAACTTTGCTGATGATACCAAAATATCCAGGGTGGAGAAAACAAACATGGGTTGCAAACAGCAACAAAATGATAAACTGAATGCATGGGCAGGAAAATGGGAAATGCAATTGACTGTAAGCAAGTGCAAAGTGATGAGCAAAAAAATTAATTTCACAGTCATGGGGTCTCAACTGGTTGTAAGAAATCATCAATAAGATGTTGTGGTCCTAGTAGATTGTTTGATGCAGACATCAATGAAGTTTGCAGCAGCTATAGAAAACACTTTAATGCATTTTTATTGACACAATATTATATAAAGGTTGTCTAAATAAATAAATAAATTTTGTTGGCTGTGCCCTTTTTTATAGGCAGGTGGGTGAATCTCTCCTATATCTAGATAATATGCACTCTTTAATTTTCCCATTAAACATTAACTGACTTCATTTGCAGGGTGATGACAAAGTTCTACCAGCACATCCTTGCTTTGGTCTTTGCTGTTGATGAGATCAACAAGAATCCCAGGATGTTGCCCAATGTCTCTCTGGGATTCCACATCTATGATAACTATTATGATTCAAAGATGGCCTACCAAACAACTCTTGACCTGCTCTTTAAATCACGTCACTTTGTTCCCAACTACAGGTGTGGCATCCAGAAAAATGTGATAGGAGTCATTGGGGGACTCAGTTCTGATACCTCCTGGTGCATGGCAAACGTCTTAGGTCTTTTCAAGATTCCACAGGTACAATATGGGTTTTGAAAAACAGATTTCATGCTTTCCTTGCATTAGGAATCTACTGATTCATAAATATGGATTGGGGAAATAGACAACGTAAAAGGGGAATAATATGCATATCCAACAATGTGTGTAAGAAGGGCAATTTGTGTTTAATAGATGTAATAGAAGATTGCTGCAAAGCTGCCAGGTTTGTAAATGAGAAGCCTAGACTGGTTCATGTATATCAATCCTGAAAGCACTGCCCTGGCTTCCTGTGAGCTACTCAATTTATGAAATTGACAGATGACTTCAAAGGTATGAATAACTCAGGACACATTAACTAAAAATGTTCCTCCCCTTAAAAATCAAGATAGTCCTTTCCCAAAGTTCACTTTCAGAGGCTAAGTGAAAACACTGTTTTCTTGCTATTATTTTGGAAT